AAAACCCTGTTAAGATGTTAACAACATTATCGCACTGTCTGAAGGACAAAACCGGGATTTACTGTGTGTGTGTGTGTGTGTGTGTGCGTCAAGGGCACAGATGTTCGTTCTGCAGGCAAGATTTTAATTTATGAAAATGATCTCGTTTATGCATGAGAGCCCCCACCATACACACTGTAGTCCTGCTGTTTGTGTGTGTGTGTGTGTGTGTGTAAGTCAACAGGGACAATATGGTGTCCATATCCCACCATTTAGCCTCCCTTTCAAAGTCGAATAAAAATGAGAGAAAGTCAGACTGCAGTATAAAGACTTGTCCTGTTTGAACAGAGCAGAAACAGAATACGTTTATTATTTAGTTAAAATGCTGTGTTAAAATTAATGACAAAACACAGTACATAAATATAGAGTCTTGTTCAGAGGGAAATTACCTTTTTTATTCTTGACTGGGGAACACTGATAATATAAAGTCATGTGGACCTTTCTCATTACATTCAGCAGTATTGGAAGGATTAATAGTATTAGCAGTAGTCTTCGTGATAGAGGTTTTGTGTTTCAGTCTGTTGGCTGATCATAACACTGATTAATGCAGCTTTAACTCAGCCATCTGTCATCAACACACACTGTGTGTGTGTGTTTGTGTGTGTGTGTTTCAGTTGTGGCTCATAATATGGTGTTTATACCACAGCCAGGGAACATCCTGCTCTCTGATTGGCAGGCAGGTATTTGTTAAAATCATATCAGAGGACACCTTCAACAATAATTGGTCAAGGAATAATAAACTGTAGGTAATCGTAGCAACATTACTGATCCTTCAGGCTCCATAGGCAGTTAACTGACGGGTGAAACTAACCTAACCATGTTTTAAACTGCCTACAAACACACTTTAAAACACGTAGGAGGATTTAAACACAGCCTCTGTTTGTTCCTTTATTAGTGGACAATACATAAGAGACAATAATGGACTCACCTATCAGCATTTATGCTAAGCTAAGCTAATCGCCTTGCCTCTAGCTCCATATTTAGCCCCATTTGGGGAGACAGACCTGGATGCGTACTGTTGAAAAGCTTAGCTAAGCTGCTGCTCTTTATTGGAGTCGTAGAAGTTACTGGATATTGCTTTCCATGATGCCGCCCCATTTATTCCTAAAAACGTTGCTCACTAGGCACAAAATTGCTTGTTGTGTGGCCTAGTGCACATGTGCATCTCTCACTAGCCCATCCATGTGTAATTTAATCATATTTCTACACTTTCCAAATGTCATTTGCTTCACATATCAGTGAGAAGAGCACAGAGTCCTATACTTTTTGCCCTAGTACACCTCCACCAAACATCCCAAAATATGATGCATTACTTTAAAAGAGTTGCAGGGCCTTAAGGAAACCAATAGCAGTGTTAAAATTTGTCACATGATTCTCTGGCGCCCATTAGGAATCCTTTTACTGCTGCTTTTGACACATGGCTCAGCTTCATACTCTCTGCACTAAACTGCCCTCAAAACATATTTTTATGCCATTTATTGACCCAGAAAAAATATATTCACAATAATAGGTAAGTAAAGTTTCATTGTTAATTGTTTAATAAAATTTATTTGATAATAATATAATAGTTAAATGCAGGGGTGGCGATGGCGCAATGGATAAGACTATGCCTTTGGTGTGAGACACCCGGGTTCAATCCTCCACTGTGACCCATCCACCAATGTGTCCCTGAGCAAGACAAATAAACTCCTAGTTGCTCCAGAGACGTGTGACCTCTGTATAGCAATTATAAGTCGCTTTGGATAAAAGCGTCCGCTAAATGCCATGCCATAATATTTTTATATTAATTAATTAATTAATTATATATATATAACAGTGTAATAAAAAATGTATTACATTACACTGGATATTTCAACCTTCCGCTTTGTTATCCTGCCTGCAGAGCACATGCTTATAGGGTTAAACATATTGTGCTTCCATTTGTCAAATTCAAAGTATTGAGCCAAAGAGGGTTGCTTCATACATTTCCTGCACTGTGGAAACAGGCCTTTGTCATTCCCTTACTTAAATCAGGTGATCCCACAGATATGAACAACTATAGGCCTATTTCAAATCTTTCAGTTCTAGCAAAAGTGTTTGAGTCATTGGTGTCTATCCAGTTCAAACAGTTACTTCAAACAAACAATATTCTTAACAATTTTCAATCTGGCTTCAGGGCAGGAAACAGTACAATCACAACAACTTTAAAAGTAATAGATCATGTTGAAACAGCACTTGAAAGTAAACATGCTTGTTTAGCATTGTTTATTGACCTGACCAAGGCGTTGGACACCGTTGATCACTGTCACCTCATCAATATCATACAAAAACTTGGCTTTAGTACAAACATGGTTAGTTGGATAAACAGCTACTTAACAAAATGCATTCAGTTTGTTCCGTTTGGCCCTGTTTTGTATGATGCGGTCACACTGAACAAGGGGGTCCCACAAGGGTCTATTTTAGGGCCCTTGTTCTTTTTAATCTATAGTAATCAAATCTGTGATCAACTTAAATTCTCCTCGTACCATATGTATGCAGATGATACAATTCTATATTCGTCAGCGCCCTCTCTAGATGCAGTACACTCAAATCTTCAGACTGATTTTATCACTTTACAAAATGCTCTTCGTAATTTAAAATTAGTCCTAAATGCTAGCAAAACCAAAGTTATGTTGTTTTCTCATAATTCTGCTGTACCCATTCCTCCTATTAAAACTCTGGATGGTGATACCATAGAAGTCGTAGACACATACAAATATCTTGGTATTTGGCTGGATAAAGACCTTAATTTTAAACATCACATTACATATTTGATAAAAAAGCTCAAATTTGCTCTAGGTTTTTTGTATAGATTGAAAACATGCTTTTCTATTTCTTCCCGTAAGCGGTTTGTAACAAGTTTGTTTTTATCACAGCTGGACTATGGAGACACCATCTATAGATTTGCTTGTCCCACTACCTTAGCTAAACTGGACCCCATTTACCATGCTGCTTTGAGGTATATAACAGGTTCACCCTATAGGACTCACCATTGTACTTTATATACTCTGGCTGGATTTACTTCATTCAATATTCGAAGGATGAAGCATTGGTATATTTTCATATACAAAGCCATTTTAGGAAAATTGCCATCATATATCTACTGTAAATTTATTGCCCTCCAGAACACACACAGTCTCAGGGCCAGTAGCTGGCTGCGGTTTAATGTGCCCTTTGTGCGTACAGAGTCAGAAAAAATGAGTCTGTCCTATTTTGGCCCATGGTCTTGGAATGATCTGCAGCTCAAGTTGAAGTTGGAGTCTCTTATTCCTGTATCCAGTTTTAAACAAAAACTGTCAGAGGTTTCAAACACATCTTGCACCTGTGACATTTAGTCAAATTATGATATGTTTAAATTTCATTGTGCTTTTATGTCTCTTTATCTGATACTTTGTTTTAAATAATTCAATAATACTGTTACTTTTATGAATAATGCTGCTGAACAATTAATGCCTTGTTTACACCTTGCACTGTGTGCTGTTTCACATCTTGGCCAGGACATCCTTGTAAAAGAGATTAAAAATCTCAATGGATTTCTTTCCTGGTAAAATAAAGGTTAATTAAAAAAAGCTGCAAGGTAACACATATCTGAAATGGCACCAGAAAACTGAAGAGACATTTAAATCTAACACAAATGATGAATTGATGGAAGGTAACTCTGTCTTGATTTTCAGCATGTTTTTGATGTTTAGATTGAAAGATTTTTAATGTAAACTTTGTTGAAATATGTGTACTCTCTTTTTTGCATTCATTCCTATAGGTGGTTCCACAATGGTACAATGTTGCCTGAGGGTAACTTTCAGACAAATAAACATATGTAAAGAGTTCATATTTTATATTTAAAAATGTAAAATTATTGTATTTTATACTGGTATTTTAAGAAATTGTATTCAAACTTTAAGTAATAACTCTCTTTTTCCATTCTTTACCTTTATGGTACAGTGTTGCTTTATGGCAATGTAACCCCAAAGTTTCCCTCCAAAATTAATTTTTTTGGAAATTTCTTTAAATAATGTTTACTTAGTCTATTTAATGACCCGAAAACACTGACAGATATTTTGCATTTTTAAATAAGAAAATAAAACTTTAAGAACTCAATTGTACTGACCTGACAGGAGGGAGAACAATGTAGGCCCATTATATGCAGCATGTTTAGTAGGCCTACGAAAAATATGCAAAATAAATCCAACTACACTCAGATAAATGTAGTAGAGTGGAGGTTTTCAAAGTGTGAGGCAGGCAGTTTCAGGGGAGGCTCAGAGAATGGAAGTGTAAAAGTATTAGCCTACATATCTAAAGGAGATCATTAAGTATAGCCTACGTGTTGAAACAGTTTAGAAATACAATGGTTTTTGTGTTTTATCAGAGTCAGACAATAATAAATGCCATAGGACAGACCTTTTTTATGCATTTGGTGAGGTCTGAAGTTATGTCAAACAGCAATATTATTGTATCTTGGCTCAGTTGTTGAGTGTCTAGGATCAAATAACATAAATATGATCCAATAGCTATCCAGGTTTTTGAGAAACTGAGCAAGTAAACTAAGGTGGGTGAGGGGGCGCCTTTTCCCAAGCTTTGTCTGAGGGGAGGTCCACAATCTCAGACTTGGAAAATCCCTGAAGTAGAGTGAAAAGTTGCCTATAATATTTCCAGTAGTAGCCTAGTGGAGTGAAAGTACCTATAAAGTAGCCTAACATAAATGGAAACATTCAAGTAAAGTACAAGTAGCCTACCTCAAAAGTATAGTAGGCCCAATCTGAGAAAATCTATGCTGGTTACTCCCCACAACTGGAAACACCGGGATTAATCAATCATAAAAGTCTTAATCAATCATACCTTTATTGAGTGTGCGCACTCCTGCTTGGAAGAATGACACACACGTGAGCGCGCACGACCGTTGACACCGTTGGATCTGTCGCGTGCCCGATTAAAGCTGCTGCCTGTCTCCATAGCGACGACACCCCGGAAATACACCATAGCCTGGTGATCAGCTTACGGTATGTTCATCTGCCGCTTTGTTTATTAGTCAAGAAAAAACTCATAACCGCAGAGTTTGTTTGTTTGTTTGTTTATCATTTCAGCCAGTAAAAATGTCGGATCCCGAGGATGCGCTGGAGTTAGAGCAGACAGACAGCACGAAGGACAAGAAGAAGAAGAAGAAGAAGAAGAAGAAGGAAGCAAAACGAAGCGGGAAGAAGAAGAAGGAGAAGGAAGAACAAGAGCAACAGGTGGTGGAGGAAGAAGAGGAGCAGAGGTGAGTGTTGGTGCTGAGGTTCCTTTAGTTTTAGATTCCACACAGAACCAGAGCTATATGAATGGTTTATCAGACGAAATAATAGAGTTGAGTTTGCACCGCGACAGACATCCTTAAGTCCGTTAACAAAACTCTTTAAAAATAAAAGCCCAGCAGTCAAAACTTTACTTTACAAAGTAAAAGTTAAAGAAAGGATTTATTAGACTTTATTAGAAATATGGATGCTCAACAGGTACCTCTATGAAAATACCCAAAATGCATTTCACTTTTCAGGTCAGCTGAAGAGCATCATGCTCCCCAGTTTCAGACTAATTCTCTGCAACTCTTCAAAAGTCAGGTTTTCACCCAAATGTAGTGCAAATTTTAATTTTCACAACAGTCAGCAAGAGAAAATGTTAATTATTCTGTGCCTTTCCATTCACCTGTTTTTATTTGCACAGGCAATTTGTGCATAAAAGTAGCTGGATTGACACGCTGAAAATCTGTAAGCAATGAATAGACTGTAAGGGACTTTTCACGGTATTTATTGGGGGACATGACCCTTCTAATATTGGAGAAAATAAAAAGTAAAGGCTGACCTTTTCCAACCTTACTTTAATTAGTGAAGAGTCACTCTTAAAGCAGCGGTCAGTATAAATTTGAGATATTCAGTTGCCCTGTGAAACCTCATTCTGCATAGGGCTCACTTTCCATGGCAAGAGTCTCACCAAGATCCCTCTTGCTTCGAATCATCATCTGAAAGAATCCCCTCCAATGCTTTGCGGCCTGGGGCAGAGCGCCCCAGGCTTCAGAGGCAGCTGCAACGATGTGTAACAGCGGGATGAGAGGCTAGTAGGCTACATTCATCATCATCGCATGTACTACATCACCTGTTTCTCCATGACATTCATACATCGAATGACATGCCGTCTCTGCACAATAGAAGTTGGTACAGACTAAAGGGTGTCAAGTGACACACAAAAAGCCATTGTAATAAAACATGAAATAACACTAAGAATTCTGTGATGAAGAGGGGATCGTCCAGCTGTACTGTGGCAGTTAGTGGGGCAAAAGGTTTAATGAGGTTTAGGTAGGAGTGGGAGATACCAAAACAAATAATAATCCCCTGTGCTTAAAAATTATTTGACGCGCCTCCCCCGTTTTGCAACCCTCCCATAAATACTGAACAGATCCTAAGCTTCCTCAAATTAATACATGAAACAAACATAAAAGCCATTTTCAACATTATTCTCCACCATTAGAGGTTTGGAGAGTTTTACCTGACAGCCGTTGGGCTAAATTTGTTTTAAATGTGGTCGGATGTTTCCAAGATCAACTTTGGTGAACTCTTTGGTGAGCCTCAGCCGTACTTTTGATGTTTGACGTAGAATGTGTTTCCTGCAGGGTATTATAATGGAGGTGACTTGCCTTGCTTGAAATAAAGAGCACCGCCAGTAATACAAAGTTGTAACAAAAAGTTGTTACATTTTTAAAATATAAATATTTTTCTATAATATAGCTCAGATTCACACAGCTAGGCTATATACTATTGACATTCCCATCAGCCTCAGTTGTACTTTGTGTTTTGCGCTAAATAGCAAATGCTAGTATACTACCATGCTAAAATAAGATGGTTAACATAGTAAGCATTACACCTGCTAAACATCAGCATGCTGATGTTAGCATTTAATTGAGTACAGCCTTACAGAGCTGCTAGCATGACTGTAGACTTTTAATCTTGTTCCAAAATTAATGAGGTTTACAAAACTTTATCAGCATCAGATGGATATATATAGATTAGAGTTAGTTCTAATCTTAATCAGGTGTTTAGTTTGTTTGCTTATGACTTACCTATGACAAACAATATGTATCATCAGTATGATTTATTTATCAGTCACTTTATTGATAAATGTATATAAATGACTAGGTATTTCTTCCATATCAGTTTAAGACCTTTGATAAGGCTGAAATAAACTCTGCTTGTGTGTCAGTGAGTGTGTTGTGCTACGTGGGATCTTCAAACTGGGGAAGAAGAGTCACGATGTCTTGCTCACCCGAACCAGACTGACCTGGACCCCCATCACCCCTGAGACCCCCTCAGGTCAGTTACCACCACGGCAGGTTATCATGGTGATCAGTTGTCCTGCTAACAGACAGGCAGATTGTGTGTATGTTGAGGCAGCTGGTGCTGTAATGGAGAAGTTCTGTCATGTTTAGTCCACCTGAAACATAACGTCTGGACACACACACACATGCACACACACACACACACACACACACACACTATATTACTGCAGATATGAGGTTGTTTCTGCTACATACATTGGTTTTCTGGTTGTTTAAAACTCAGCTGGTTGACGTCAAATCATCGATTCAGTTGTCATCGTTAGCATTAGCATGATGCTGTTAGCCATCCATCCATCGTCAACCGCTTATCCTGCGTACAGAGTCGCGGGGGGCTGGAGCCAGTGCCAGCTGACATCGGGCGAAAGGCGGGGTACACCCTGGACGGGTCGCCAATCCATCGCAGGGCCACACATAGACAAACAACCAGTCACACTCACACTCACACCTCACGACAATTTAGAGTCACCAATCAACCTGACACGGGGAGAACATGCAGACTCCACACAGAAAGGCCGGGGGCAACCGGGGTTCGCGACCTTCTTGCTGTAAGGCCACAGCGCTATCCACCAGATCACCATGCCGCCCGATGCTGTTAGCATGTAGTTCAAAACACTGCTGTGTAAGTACAGCCTCACAGAGTCTTATAGAGAGCCTAAGTCCCTCCCCTTCCGGTGGACCACCATGGGACCTTATTTCGGAAAAAATATGTACTGTAGTCAATGACAAGAGACAACTTTTTTTTATTTATTTATTTTTATTTTGGAAGTGGAAGCGAGGGACTTAGGCTCTCTATTGGCATGGGTTAATGTCTTTTGAAGTAACAAAAGTTGGGCTATTTGTTTTGTAGTTAAAAAAAACAGACAGAAAATGGGGAAATTGAGTCATCTTCCACATGATCAGAGTTGGCTGGAGTTTTTTAAAGTGATGCAGTGCATGGCCGTGCAGAGACCTTTGGAATGGCAGGTGCTCAAAGTATAAAAAGGGCACATGGAACAAGGATTAAAATAGGGCTGTTCTCAAAATATCGATACATAAATATATTGTTATATATTCCTTGCTCATATGCGTATACAGATGCTTCTGTTTCGATACAATTTTGAAAAAGAAACACAGGGAATACCCAGCTCTAGCTTTAAAACACTGTGGGCTGACATAACTTACAGGGAACAGTTGCTGTTGAGGGGTTGCTGGGAATGTATTTGCTGTTGTTGCTGCTGCTGCTGCTGCTGTTGTTGCTGCTGATACTACTGGAGATGATCTGAGACTAGAGATATTAAAACAAACATAGGATATATATTACGTGATTAAACTGTTGTGTGACCATGACAAGATGTAAAGACTGTTGAATGTTTGGGACTGGCTCACAGTGACTCACCTGCTGCAGCCGCTGTCAAGGCTGACTGCTACAGAAAAAATAAGAGGGAGATGCTCACAGAATCTGCTGCACACCAAGAGCTGCAGGTAGAGGAAATAAGATACCAGATTCAAAAAAAGTATGGGAAATAATCTTAGAAGGAAACATTAATGGGGGAAAGGATGAGGGAGGGCATGGCAGAGGTACGGGTGAGACAGACAAATCTATAGACAGAGGTGTGTGTGTGTGTGTGTGTGTGTGTGTGTGTGTGTGTGTGTGACTCTGTCTGAGTGTTGCTTACTTGTGTGTCTGCAGTATGCAATATTGTGATAATGATTTTATATATTGCATTGTGAATCTGAGATATCTTTGGATTTTTATTGACTTTATGTCTAATCATAAATTTAAATAAATAAACTAGCATTAATCTTCCACACTAACATTTCATGTAAATCTATTCCAACACTGTTCTGAATTTATTAATAATTTTAAAAAGGGCTGATAAGTAGGCTATAAGTGGAGGATTAAGTATCAGTAAGCCTGTTTTACCAATGTTGTTGTAATTATTTTAAGGCACAAGGCTTTTATTAAGTTACTGTAATAATCCTCATTCAAGTGAAAGGTTTTTAGTCAAATTACATAAAAAAGATCAGACCTCTCGACCCCCGTGAAAATTTTCTCCTTCAAACAGCAAGAATGAAGTGAACAGAGCACCTTTGTTTATCTGTGTACAGAAGTAACGTTAGCTGTCAGCATAGTGTTAGCCGGCAGCTAAGGTTACTACTGTGCATGCTCTCTTTGCGTCTTTCTTGTAAAATCCATCCAACAACCCACAACAAGCACACTGCGTCAAACCCCTCTTACCGGTGGAATTGAAGGTGTCCTGTTGGCAGTGCTGCTGAATGTGAGGGCTCATCATGGATGAGGTCATCAGGTGAAAGGTCATCATGTGGGTCATTTTATTTACTGCAAAATTATTCATTAATTTTACTAATAGTTTGATTGGGCAGGCCTTCACAAAAGGGCCTTTACAAATTTAAAAATAAATAAATTAAGGACATTTTGCATTGAAAAAACTTTGGGCATCAAAGGGCAAAAGGGCAGGTGCTCAAGCACCCAGCGCACCCCCCTCTGCACGTGTCTGGTGCAGTATGCAGTGTCGGCCAGCTCCTTTGCTAATGCTGGAGTTTGGTGCTTCTCTCTGCTAACATTAGTGTCTGGGTGATGGTGTACAAAGTATTCACAAAAATACTTAAATGTTGTCTTGCTGAGCTAGTTATGAAGTTGTTAAATCCAAAATGTGCCAAAAGTGTTTGACATCTTTAAAGATGAACTCACTTCGTATTACTATACAATATATGTAACCCACAACATTAACTTGTAAAGAAACGAAGATGCAGTTATTGTGTTATCAACATTATTTTCACAAATGATCACTACTCAACTGATTTTTGCTTTGTTGGTCGGGAAACTGATTTATCAACGTGGATTCAAGCGTTCAACTATATAACAAATAATGTATATTTTATTAAATAAATAATCACGTTCGCTTTTACATAATTATAAGCCCATGTCATTGAAAACTGGACTGTGTGTTACCAAATTAGTCTCCACTGTGACTCTGTTTTGGAACAAGAAATATTGTGTCACCACTCAGACAGCTGTTCTGGTATTTAATTTATAAACGCATAATAAAACACATTCTGACCAGTCATAGCTATCATAACAGAAACATGAGCAGCTGATCCCAGAGATATGGCAGAACTGATCTAACTAGCGCTGCTATGTAATTAGTGTATTTGCTAAAATATAGAATGAATCAGAAATGCAGCAATTTGCTTCAATATCCTTTATTTTTTCTATATCATTGCACATAGTAATTTACAGTTTTTTACAATTGCCAACAAGCATTTTTCAGTACTGAGTTTACTTTTGCAGTTTCATGCAGCTTGCACAACAGTTAATTTCACACCCAAAATACACCAAAACTACCAACACTTACAGTAGATCTTTGAAGTAGTAAATCATTTTGTGTTTGTGTGTGTGTATATATATAAATATATATATTTTGTAAGTGTGTACATTGTCTTATTTTACAGTAAATAAATGTCACTGCACACATTGGCACCCCTTTGGCCTGGGACACCCACAGCATGTTTTTGCCAAGTCCACATAGATAAAAACATGGTGTGTGTGATGGCTTTCCAGCTCCATGACTTTCTAAAGGAAATCTCCTCTGTGGGGGTTAGTCGTTCTAAAGAAGAAATACAAGAATTACACACAAGCAATAGATTTAAATTTTGGTAATATGCAGTTATGCCTTTTCAGAATACATATTTTACCTGTTGGTTCACTGAAAGATTCTGACAATTGATGCCACCGTTGAACGGGTCACATTTGGCTACTCTCTGAGACCTGTCTCCTTCAATGATGGCCCATGGTTGATTACTTGGTTACCACAGTAACCCTAATATCATCAGAGACTACAGCTCTTGCTCATCTCTGCTGTTGTCTTACACCACCACAAATGCAGAATCCTGTCCCTCTCCATACACTCTTTCTCCTCCGTCTCTTGCAGGCTCCATTTTGAAGTAGAGGTGTAACAAAACATTCCAAAGATGTCTCCTTTTATAGGTGGTAATGAGATCACTAGGTGAAAAGACCGGGATAGGGCTCTAACTGAGATGGAAATGACGTGTCATTGGTATCATTTACATAATTCATCCATCCATCCTTCCATCTTCATCCACTTATCCGGGATCGGGTCACGGGGTACATAATTTCAATCAATACTATTTCACTACTTGTCTCCATAACTATCTTTTTTAGGATTTTGAATGTATTTCAATGGGGTATGTAATTGCTGTCCATTTGAATGTATGTATGGTTTTGATCTTAAATTTAACAGTTTTAAAAAGACTATATAAGTATTTGCAAGATTGGCTGTGAGTACACATGGTTTTTCTGGTGGTTGACTTTGAATGAGAAAAGAATCTTGGAATTTTGAAAGCTGTGGTCATTGAATGTCTTTTGTGTTAAATCAATGCATTTTGTATTACAGCAAGGCAAGAGTCAGTCTCAGTTTGGTCCACGTAGACTTCTGTTGTGCTCACTGCGAGAAGAGTTTTGAAAAAGTAAACACTTTCAGTACTGAAAAATGCTTGTTAGCAATTGTAAGCAAAAATTGTTTGTATGCTAACACTGGGGCATGGGACACAATGACCACAACCTGTAATTCATGTACCTACCCCCTGAACCAATTCTGCTGAAATACAAGCACATTTCCTGCTTTACACTAAGCCACACTTTTTTGAAAACACCACTCACAGTTTTTACACGCACAGACATAAACATAAACTTTACTGTAAATATTCTGCAAAGATTTTCTATATATTTCAGTCTGGTTACTGCCGACAAGCAGGATATTTGCCATAATTCAGTTTTGAATGTGTTTTAACACAAAAACACAGGACATTACATTTGCAGCAAAAAAGGTGCTGCAAATATATTTGCAGGTGGTGAAGTAGTAACGAGAAAAAAGTTAATAGATTTTGGACAACGTGGTCATTGAATGCATTTTGTGTGAAAGCAATTAAAAATGATTCACAGTTTGGTCCACA